TTCTTGTTCTCCTCCCTAGCCTTCTTGTTCTCCTCCCTAGCCTTCTTCTTCTCCTCCCTAGCCTTCTTGTTCTCCTCCCTAGCCTTCTTCTTCTCCTCCCTAGCCTTCTTGTTCTCCTCCCTAGCCTTCTTGTTCTCCTCCCTAGCCTTCTTGTTCTCCTCCCTAGCCTTCTTGTTCTCCTCCCTAGCCTTCTTGTTCTCCTCCCTAGCCTTCTTCTTCTCCTCCCTAGCCTTCTTGTTCTCCTCCCTAGCCTTCTTGTTCTCCTCCCTAGCCTTCTTGTTCTCCTCCCTAGCCTTCTTGTTCTCCTCCCTAGCCTTCTTGTTCTCCTCCCTAGCCTTCTTGTTCTCCTCCCTAGCCTTCTTCTTCTCCTCCCTAGCCTTCTTGTTCTCCTCCCTAGCCTTCTTGTTCTCCTCCCTAGCCTTCTTGTTCTCCTCCCTAGCCTTCTTGTTCTCCTCCCTAGCCTTCTTGTTCTCCTCCCTAGCCTTCTTGTTCTCCTCCCTAGCCTTCTTGTTCTCCTCCCTAGCCTTCTTGTTCTCCTCCCTAGCCTTCTTGTTCTCCTCCCTAGCCTTCTTGTTCTCCTCCCTAGCCTTCTTGTTCTCCTCCCTAGCCTTCTTGTTCTCCTCCCTAGCCTTCTTGTTCTCCTCCCTAGCCTTCTTGTTCTCCTCCCTAGCCTTCTTGTTCTCCTCCCTAGCCTTCTTGTTCTCCTCCCTAGCCTTCTTCTTCTCCTCCCTAGCCTTCTTGTTCTCCTCCCTAGCCTTCTTGTTCTCCTCCCTAGCCTTCTTGTTCTCCTCCCTAGCCTTTTCTCTCCTCCCTAGCCTTCTTGTTCTCCTCCCTAGCCTTCTTGTTCTCCTCCCTAGCCTTCTTCTTCTCCTCCCTAGCCTTCTTCTTCTCCTCCCTAGCCTTCTTGTTCTCCTCCCTAGCCTTCTTGTTCTCCTCCCTAGCCTTCTTGTTCTCCTCCCTAGCCTTCTTCTTCTCCTCCCTAGCCTTCTTGTTCTCCTCCCTAGCCTTCTTCTTCTCCTCCCTAGCTTCTTTTCTCCTCCCTAGCCTTCTTGTTCTCCTCCCTAGCCTTCTTGTTCTCCTCCCTAGCCTTCTTGTTCTCCTCCCTAGCCTTCTTGTTCTCCTCCCTAGCCTTCTTGTTCTCCTCCCTAGCCTTCTTGTTCTCCTCCCTAGCCTTCTTGTTCTCCTCCCTAGCCTTCTTGTTCTCCTCCCTAGCCTTCTTGTTCTCCTCCCTAGCCTTCTTGTTCTCCTCCCTAGCCTTCTTGTTCTCCTCCCTAGCCTTCTTGTTCTCCTCCCTAGCCTTCTTCTTCTCCTCCCTAGCCTTCTTGTTCTCCTCCCTAGCCTTCTTGTTCTCCTCCCTAGCCTTCTTGTTCTCCTCCCTAGCCTTCTTCTTCTCCTCCCTAGCCTTCTTCTTCTCCTCCCTAGCCTTCTTGTTCTCCTCCCTAGCCTTCTTGTTCTCCTCCCTAGCCTTCTTCTTCTCCTCCCTAGCCTTCTTCTTCTCCTCCCTAGCCTTCTTCTTCTCCTCCCTAGCCTTCTTGTTCTCCTCCCTAGCCTTCTTGTTCTCCTCCCTAGCCTTCTTCTTCTCCTCCCTAGCCTTCTTGTTCTCCTCCCTAGCCTTCTTGTTCTCCTCCCTAGCCTTCTTGTTCTCCTCCCTAGCCTTCTTGTTCTCCTCCCTAGCCTTCTTGTTCTCCTCCCTAGCCTTCTTCTTCTCCTCCCTAGCCTTCTTGTTCTCCTCCCTAGCCTTCTTGTTCTCCTCCCTAGCCTTCTTGTTCTCCTCCCTAGCCTTCTTGTTCTCCTCCCTAGCCTTCTTGTTCTCCTCCCTAGCCTTCTTGTTCTCCTCCCTAGCCTTCTTCTTCTCCTCCCTAGCCTTCTTGTTCTCCTCCCTAGCCTTCTTCTTCTCCTCCCTAGCCTTCTTCTTCTCCTCCCTAGCCTTCTTCTTCTCCTCCCTAGCCTTCTTGTTCTCCTCCCTAGCCTTCTTGTTCTCCTCCCTAGCCTTCTTCTTCTCCTCCCTAGCCTTCTTGTTCTCCTCCCTAGCCTTCTTCTTCTCCTCCCTAGCCTTCTTGTTCTCCTCCCTAGCCTTCTTGTTCTCCTCCCTAGCCTTCTTGTTCTCCTCCCTAGCCTTCTTGTTCTCCTCCCTAGCCTTCTTGTTCTCCTCCCTAGCCTTCTTGTTCTCCTCCCTAGCCTTCTTGTTCTCCTCCCTAGCCTTCTTGTTCTCCTCCCTAGCCTTCTTGTTCTCCTCCCTAGCCTTCTTGTTCTCCTCCCTAGCCTTCTTCTTCTCCTCCCTAGCCTTCTTCTCTCCTCTTCTTCTCCTCCCTAGCCTTCTTGTTCTCCTCCCTAGCCTTCTTGTTCTCCTCCCTAGCCTTCTTGTTCTCCTCCCTAGCCTTCTTGTTCTCCTCCCTAGCCTTCTTGTTCTCCTCCCTAGCCTTCTTGTTCTCCTCCCTAGCCTTCTTGTTCTCCTCCCTAGCCTTCTTCTTCTCCTCCCTAGCCTTCTTCTTCTCCTCCCTAGCCTTCTTCTTCTCCTCCCTAGCCTTCTTCTTCTCCTCCCTAGCCTTCTTGTTCTCCTCCCTAGCCTTCTTGTTCTCCTCCCTAGCCTTCTTGTTCTCCTCCCTAGCCTTCTTGTTCTCCTCCCTAGCCTTCTTGTTCTCCTCCCTAGCCTTCTTGTTCTCCTCCCTAGCCTTCTTCTTCTCCTCCCTAGCCTTCTTGTTCTCCTCCCTAGCCTTCTTGTTCTCCTCCCTAGCCTTCTTGTTCTCCTCCCTAGCCTTCTTCTTCTCCTCCCTAGCCTTCTTCTTCTCCTCCCTAGCCTTCTTCTTCTCCTCCCTAGCCTTCTTGTTCTCCTCCCTAGCCTTCTTGTTCTCCTCCCTAGCCTTCTTGTTCTCCTCCCTAGCCTTCTTGTTCTCCTCCCTAGCCTTCTTCTTCTCCTCCCTAGCCTTCTTCTTCTCCTCCCTAGCCTTCTTGTTCTCCTCCCTAGCCTTCTTGTTCTCCTCCCTAGCCTTCTTGTTCTCCTCCCTAGCCTTCTTGTTCTCCTCCCTAGCCTTCTTCTTCTCCTCCCTAGCCTTCTTCTTCTCCTCCCTAGCCTTCTTCTTCTCCTCCCTAGCCTTCTTGTTCTCCTCCCTAGCCTTCTTGTTCTCCTCCCTAGCCTTCTTCTTCTCCTCCCTAGCCTTCTTGTTCTCCTCCCTAGCCTTCTTCTTCTCCTCCCTAGCCTTCTTGTTCTCCTCCCTAGCCTTCTTGTTCTCCTCCCTAGCCTTCTTGTTCTCCTCCCTAGCCTTCTTGTTCTCCTCCCTAGCCTTCTTCTTCTCCTCCCTAGCCTTCTTCTTCTCCTCCCTAGCCTTCTTGTTCTCCTCCCTAGCCTTCTTGTTCTCCTCCCTAGCCTTCTTCTTCTCCTCCCTAGCCTTCTTGTTCTCCTCCCTAGCCTTCTTGTTCTCCTCCCTAGCCTTCTTGTTCTCCTCCCTAGCCTTCTTGTTCTCCTCCCTAGCCTTCTTGTTCTCCTCCCTAGCCTTCTTCTTCTCCTCCCTAGCCTTCTTGTTCTCCTCCCTAGCCTTCTTGTTCTCCTCCCTAGCCTTCTTGTTCTCCTCCCTAGCCTTCTTCTTCTCCTCCCTAGCCTTCTTGTTCTCCTCCCTAGCCTTCTTCTTCTCCTCCCTAGCCTTCTTGTTCTCCTCCCTAGCCTTCTTGTTCTCCTCCCTAGCCTTCTTCTTCTCCTCCCTAGCCTTCTTCTTCTCCTCCCTAGCCTTCTTGTTCTCCTCCCTAGCCTTCTTGTTCTCCTCCCTAGCCTTCTTGTTCTCCTCCCTAGCCTTCTTCTTCTCCTCCCTAGCCTTCTTCTTCTCCTCCCTAGCCTTCTTGTTCTCCTCCCTAGCCTTCTTGTTCTCCTCCCTAGCCTTCTTGTTCTCCTCCCTAGCCTTCTTGTTCTCCTCCCTAGCCTTCTTCTTCTCCTCCCTAGCCTTCTTCTTCTCCTCCCTAGCCTTCTTGTTCTCCTCCCTAGCCTTCTTGTTCTCCTCCCTAGCCTTCTTGTTCTCCTCCCTAGCCTTCTTGTTCTCCTCCCTAGCCTTCTTGTTCTCCTCCCTAGCCTTCTTCTTCTCCTCCCTAGCCTTCTTGTTCTCCTCCCTAGCCTTCTTGTTCTCCTCCCTAGCCTTCTTGTTCTCCTCCCTAGCCTTCTTGTTCTCCTCCCTAGCCTTCTTGTTCTCCTCCCTAGCCTTCTTGTTCTCCTCCCTAGCCTTCTTGTTCTCCTCCCTAGCCTTCTTGTTCTCCTCCCTAGCCTTCTTGTTCTCCTCCCTAGCCTTCTTGTTCTCCTCCCTAGCCTTCTTGTTCTCCTCCCTAGCCTTCTTGTTCTCCTCCCTAGCCTTCTTGTTCTCCTCCCTAGCCTTCTTCTTCTCCTCCCTAGCCTTCTTGTTCTCCTCCCTAGCCTTCTTGTTCTCCTCCCTAGCCTTCTTGTTCTCCTCCCTAGCCTTCTTGTTCTCCTCCCTAGCCTTCTTGTTCTCCTCCCTAGCCTTCTTCTTCTCCTCCCTAGCCTTCTTCTTCTCCTCCCTAGCCTTCTTGTTCTCCTCCCTAGCCTTCTTGTTCTCCTCCCTAGCTTCTTCGTCTTCTCCTCCCTAGCCTTCTTCTTCTCCTCCCTAGCCTTCTTCTTCTCCTCCCTAGCCTTCTTGTTCTCCTCCCTAGCCTTCTTGTTCTCCTCCCTAGCCTTCTTGTTCTCCTCCCTAGCCTTCTTGTTCTCCTCCCTAGCCTTCTTGTTCTCCTCCCTAGCCTTCTTGTTCTCCTCCCTAGCCTTCTTGTTCTCCTCCCTAGCCTTCTTCTTCTCCTCCCTAGCCTTCTTGTTCTCCTCCCTAGCCTTCTTGTTCTCCTCCCTAGCCTTCTTGTTCTCCTCCCTAGCCTTCTTGTTCTCCTCCCTAGCCTTCTTGTTCTCCTCCCTAGCCTTCTTCTTCTCCTCCCTAGCCTTCTTGTTCTCCTCCCTAGCCTTCTTGTTCTCCTCCCTAGCCTTCTTCTTCTCCTCCCTAGCCTTCTTCTTCTCCTCCCTAGCCTTCTCTTCTTCTTCTCTTCTTCTCCTCCCTAGCCTTCTTGTTCTCCTCCCTAGCCTTCTTGTTCTCCTCCCTAGCCTTCTTGTTCTCCTCCCTAGCCTTCTTGTTCTCCTCCCTAGCCTTCTTCTTCTCCTCCCTAGCCTTCTTGTTCTCCTCCCTAGCCTTCTTGTTCTCCTCCCTAGCCTTCTTGTTCTCCTCCCTAGCCTTCTTCTTCTCCTCCCTAGCCTTCTTGTTCTCCTCCCTAGCCTTCTTGTTCTCCTCCCTAGCCTTCTTGTTCTCCTCCCTAGCCTTCTTCTTCTCCTCCCTAGCCTTCTTGTTCTCCTCCCTAGCCTTCTTGTTCTCCTCCCTAGCCTTCTTCTTCTCCTCCCTAGCCTTCTTCTTCTCCTCCCTAGCCTTCTTCTTCTCCTCCCTAGCCTTCTTGTTCTCCTCCCTAGCCTTCTTGTTCTCCTCCCTAGCCTTCTTGTTCTCCTCCCTAGCCTTCTTCTTCTCCTCCCTAGCCTTCTTCTTCTCCTCCCTAGCCTTCTTCTTCTCCTCCCTAGCCTTCTTGTTCTCCTCCCTAGCCTTCTTGTTCTCCTCCCTAGCCTTCTTGTTCTCCTCCCTAGCCTTCTTGTTCTCCTCCCTAGCCTTCTTGTTCTCCCCCTCCCCTAGCCTTCTTGTTCTCCTCCCTAGCCTTCTTGTTCTCCTCCCTAGCCTTCTTCTTCTCCTCCCTAGCCTTCTTGTTCTCCTCCCTAGCCTTCTTGTTCTCCTCCCTAGCCTTCTTGTTCTCCTCCCTAGCCTTCTTGTTCTCCTCCCTAGCCTTCTTGTTCTCCTCCCTAGCCTTCTTCTTCTCCTCCCTAGCCTTCTTGTTCTCCTCCCTAGCCTTCTTGTTCTCCTCCCTAGCCTTCTTCTTCTCCTCCCTAGCCTTCTTCTTCTCCTCCCTAGCCTTCTTCTTCTCCTCCCTAGCCTTCTTGTTCTCCTCCCTAGCCTTCTTGTTCTCCTCCCTAGCCTTCTTGTTCTCCTCCCTAGCCTTCTTGTTCTCCTCCCTAGCCTTCTTGTTCTCCTCCCTAGCCTTCTTGTTCTCCTCCCTAGCCTTCTTGTTCTCCTCCCTAGCCTTCTTGTTCTCCTCCCTAGCCTTCTTCTTCTCCTCCCTAGCCTTCTTCTCTCCTTCTTCTCCTCCCTAGCCTTCTTGTTCTCCTCCCTAGCCTTCTTGTTCTCCTCCCTAGCCTTCTTGTTCTCCTCCCTAGCCTTCTTGTTCTCCTCCCTAGCCTTCTTGTTCTCCTCCCTAGCCTTCTTGTTCTCCTCCCTAGCCTTCTTGTTCTCCTCCCTAGCCTTCTTCTTCTCCTCCCTAGCCTTCTTGTTCTCCTCCCTAGCCTTCTTCTTCTCCTCCCTAGCCTTCTTGTTCTCCTCCCTAGCCTTCTTCTTCTCCTCCCTAGCCTTCTTGTTCTCCTCCCTAGCCTTCTTCTTCTCCTCCCTAGCCTTCTTGTTCTCCTCCCTAGCCTTCTTGTTCTCCTCCCTAGCCTTCTTGTTCTCCTCCCTAGCCTTCTTGTTCTCCTCCCTAGCCTTCTTGTTCTCCTCCCTAGCCTTCTTGTTCTCCTCCCTAGCCTTCTTGTTCTCCTCCCTAGCCTTCTTGTTCTCCTCCCTAGCCTTCTTGTTCTCCTCCCTAGCCTTCTTCTTCTCCTCCCTAGCCTTCTTCTTCTCCTCCCTAGCCTTCTTGTTCTCCTCCCTAGCCTTCTTCTTCTCCTCCCTAGCCTTCTTGTTCTCCTCCCTAGCCTTCTTGTTCTCCTCCCTAGCCTTCTTGTTCTCCTCCCTAGCCTTCTTGTTCTCCTCCCTAGCCTTCTTGTTCTCCTCCCTAGCCTTCTTGTTCTCCTCCCTAGCCTTCTTGTTCTCCTCCCTAGCCTTCTTGTTCTCCTCCCTAGCCTTCTTGTTCTCCTCCCTAGCCTTCTTGTTCTCCTCCCTAGCCTTCTTGTTCTCCTCCCTAGCCTTCTTGTTCTCCTCCCTAGCCTTCTTGTTCTCCTCCCTAGCCTTCTTGTTCTCCTCCCTAGCCTTCTTGTTCTCCTCCCTAGCCTTCTTGTTCTCCTCCCTAGCCTTCTTCTTCTCCTCCCTAGCCTTCTTCTTCTCCTCCCTAGCCTTCTTCTTCTCCTCCCTAGCCTTCTTCTTCTCCTCCCTAGCCTTCTTGTTCTCCTCCCTAGCCTTCTTGTTCTCCTCCCTAGCCTTCTTGTTCTCCTCCCTAGCCTTCTTGTTCTCCTCCCTAGCCTTCTTGTTCTCCTCCCTAGCCTTCTTGTTCTCCTCCCTAGCCTTCTTCTTCTCCTCCCTAGCCTTCTTGTTCTCCTCCCTAGCCTTCTTGTTCTCCTCCCTAGCCTTCTTGTTCTCCTCCCTAGCCTTCTTGTTCTCCTCCCTAGCCTTCTTGTTCTCCTCCCTAGCCTTCTTGTTCTCCTCCCTAGCCTTCTTGTTCTCCTCCCTAGCCTTCTTGTTCTCCTCCCTAGCCTTCTTGTTCTCCTCCCTAGCCTTCTTGTTCTCCTCCCTAGCCTTCTTCTTCTCCTCCCTAGCCTTCTTGTTCTCCTCCCTAGCCTTCTTGTTCTCCTCCCTAGCCTTCTTGTTCTCCTCCCTAGCCTTCTTCTTCTCCTCCCTAGCCTTCTTCTTCTCCTCCCTAGCCTTCTTGTTCTCCTCCCTAGCCTTCTTGTTCTCCTCCCTAGCCTTCTTGTTCTCCTCCCTAGCCTTCTTGTTCTCCTCCCTAGCCTTCTTCTTCTCCTCCCTAGCCTTCTTCTTCTCCTCCCTAGCCTTCTTGTTCTCCTCCCTAGCCTTCTTGTTCTCCTCCCTAGCCTTCTTGTTCTCCTCCCTAGCCTTCTTGTTCTCCTCCCTAGCCTTCTTGTTCTCCTCCCTAGCCTTCTTGTTCTCCTCCCTAGCCTTCTTCTTCTCCTCCCTAGCCTTCTTGTTCTCCTCCCTAGCCTTCTTGTTCTCCTCCCTAGCCTTCTTCTTCTCCTCCCTAGCCTTCTTCTTCTCCTCCCTAGCCTTCTTCTTCTCCTCCCTAGCCTTCTTGTTCTCCTCCCTAGCCTTCTTGTTCTCCTCCCTAGCCTTCTTGTTCTCCTCCCTAGCCTTCTTGTTCTCCTCCCTAGCCTTCTTCTTCTCCTCCCTAGCCTTCTTCTTCTCCTCCCTAGCCTTCTTGTTCTCCTCCCTAGCCTTCTTGTTCTCCTCCCTAGCCTTCTTGTTCTCCTCCCTAGCCTTCTTCTTCTCCTCCCTAGCCTTCTTGTTCTCCTCCCTAGCCTTCTTGTTCTCCTCCCTAGCCTTCTTGTTCTCCTCCCTAGCCTTCTTCTTCTCCTCCCTAGCCTTCTTGTTCTCCTCCCTAGCCTTCTTGTTCTCCTCCCTAGCCTTCTTCTTCTCCTCCCTAGCCTTCTTCTTCTCCTCCCTAGCCTTCTTCTTCTCCTCCCTAGCCTTCTTGTTCTCCTCCCTAGCCTTCTTGTTCTCCTCCCTAGCCTTCTTGTTCTCCTCCCTAGCCTTCTTGTTCTCCTCCCTAGCCTTCTTCTTCTCCTCCCTAGCCTTCTTCTTCTCCTCCCTAGCCTTCTTCTTCTCCTCCCTAGCCTTCTTGTTCTCCTCCCTAGCCTTCTTGTTCTCCTCCCTAGCCTTCTTGTTCTCCTCCCTAGCCTTCTTGTTCTCCTCCCTAGCCTTCTTGTTCTCCTCCCTAGCCTTCTTCTTCTCCTCCCTAGCCTTCTTGTTCTCCTCCCTAGCCTTCTTGTTCTCCTCCCTAGCCTTCTTCTTCTCCTCCCTAGCCTTCTTCTTCTCCTCCCTAGCCTTCTTCTTCTCCTCCCTAGCCTTCTTGTTCTCCTCCCTAGCCTTCTTCTTCTCCTCCCTAGCCTTCTTGTTCTCCTCCCTAGCCTTCTTGTTCTCCTCCCTAGCCTTCTTGTTCTCCTCCCTAGCCTTCTTCTTCTCCTCCCTAGCCTTCTTCTTCTCCTCCCTAGCCTTCTTCTTCTCCTCCCTAGCCTTCTTGTTCTCCTCCCTAGCCTTCTTCTTCTCCTCCCTAGCCTTCTTGTTCTCCTCCCTAGCCTTCTTCTTCTCCTCCCTAGCCTTCTTGTTCTCCTCCCTAGCCTTCTTCTTCTCCTCCCTAGCCTTCTTCCCTTCCCCCCACCTCCATCCCACCGCCTCCCCTCTCCCACACTCTCCTCCCCCTCCCCCTCCGGCGCCTTTTTTTTATTGTTCTTCTCCCCACGTGTGCCAGTTCGACATCCCCGAGGGGACGAGAGTCACGGTCTACGATAAGATAATCAACCTGGCGCATTGGAACGCGTATCAGTTCTACCACGGCATTCTCGAGCTCGTGCCCGTCTTCTTCATGCTCGTACCACACCTGCTGCGCGCGCTGCCCATCGCCGTGCAGTACCTGCAGATGGACTTTCTGGAAAAACTCGGAACCTTTTTCATCGGCATGGACATGGTTCACATGGACTTGAGGGTTGTTCCGGACGATGAGGTGTTCTTCGCCCATCAAGTGCTTCAGGTACGCCACCCACCTCTGCTGCGCTCGCTGCCCATCGCCGTGCAGTACCTGCAGATGGGCTTTCTCGAGAAGCTGGGGACGTTTTTCATTGGCATGGACATGGTTCACATGGACTTGAGGGTTGTTCCAGACGATGAGGTGGTCTTCGCCCATCAGGTGCTGCAGGTACGTCTGTGCTCTTCAATGCATCATACAGCCAAACAGCAAGGTTGAAGGTTTAGGGTTCAGGTTTTAGGTTGCACCTGCTGCGCTTGCTGCCCAAGGGGGTGCGTACCTACAGATGGACTTTCTCGAGAAGCTGGGGACGTTTTTCATCAGCATGGATATGGTGCATATGGACTTGAGGGTTGTTCCGGACGATGAGGTGTTCTTCGCCCACCAGGTCCTGCAGGTACGCCGCCTGTGCTGTGCTCTCCAGCACACCAAGCACCGGGGTAGAAGGTTCAGCGTTTGGGGTTTAAGGTGCACCTGCTGCGCGCACTGCCCATCGCCGTGCAGTACCTCCAGATGGACTTTCTGGAAAAACTCGGAACCTTTTTCATCGGCATGGACATGGTTCACATTGTCCTGCGAGTTGCCCCAGACGACGAGCTGTTCTTTGCTCACCAAGTGCTCCAGGTACACGCTTTCTTGCTTCAGATAGTCCTGTGCTCTCCAGCACACAAAGCACCAGGGCTCAAGGCCAGGGTTCAGGGTTTTCGGGTGTTTAAGAGGTTTTGGGTGAAAAGTTCAGGGTGTGGGTTTTGAATGAAGGGTCTAGGTTTGGTGACGGTTTCGAGTTCTGGGTTTGTATTAATGGGTTTGAGGCTCTGGCTGCACCTGCTGAGTTGACTTATGAGTTGAGTTGACTTTTGAGTCGACTCAAAAGTCATTTCGAGTTCTGGGTTTGTATTAATGGGTTTGAGGCTCTGGCTGCACCTGCTGCGGTCGCTTCCCACGGCAGTGCAGTACGTGCAGGCTGCAGATGGGCTTCCTGGATCGCCTGTGTGATGTGTTGGGCGGCAAGGCAACACACATCGCCTGTGGCAAGGCTGGAGATGTTCCTCATATGCCTGGATTTGCTGCACGTGGACCTGCGGGTGGTGCAAATCGTTCAAGTGCCTCAAATTAGCCTGGAAGTGGTCTGTGTAGCCCAGTCAATCGCTAAGACCCCCCCCCCCCCCCTCTCCCCACCCACGTTTCCCCCTTTCCACCCGTCTTACCCCACGCTTTCCCCCTCACCCACGCTTTCCCCCTCACCCACGCTTTCCCCCTCACCCACGCTTTTCCCCCTCTCCCCCTCGCCTGCCTTGCCAGGACTACTACCAGTGGTGATGGCGCCCCCGTCAGTCTCTGATTCCTCATGCCCCCCCCATTCATTTCCCTGACTCCCCAACCTCCTCCCCCGGCCTCCAACCCTCCCAACCTCAACACCCCCCTGCCCCTGCCAGCCCTACTACCAGTGGTGCGGGCGGCCCAGTCAGTCTCTCTGGCGTCACTTCCGTTGGCTGTATCTGCTGCCACCCGATGGCCTCCCCATGTTCCTCCCTGACTGGACCCCCCGTGTCAACAGCGCCATGCAGTCATACTCCATTGGCTTCCCGGGTGAGCTTGATATGGGTTGACCAGCGTTAACCAGCGTTGACTAGCATTGACTAGCGTTGACCTGCGTTGACTAGCGTTGACCGCTGGGCCCCTCTGTCAGGCGTCCTCCTTGCTCCTCCCTGACTAAACCCCACGCATCAACGGCGCCATGCAGTCAGACTCCTCCTCTGCCTTCCCAGGTGCGCCTGTTGACGTTGAAGTGTGTGGCTTGTGTTCTCTCTAAGGCATCCTCCTGTGCTGCTGGTTGTCTGCTCTCTGCTCAGGTGCGCCTGCTGACTGGCACCCGCAACGACACCCGTGCACCTGAGCAGCATGGGGAGGTGGTGTGTGTGTCGTGTGCCCGCATTTCTGTATTTGTCGGTTCGGTTCCCAACTGTGTCAGTGTCTTCCCACTGGAGCAGCAGGAGCAGGTGGAGGAGCTGTCTGTGCGTGTGTGCTGCTGTGGTCTAACGCCTCTTTGTTTCGAAACGTCTCATAACGCCTCTTTCCATTCCTGTGCTGTGTTGCTTGCCTACCATGCTCTCTACTGTCTCTTCCCAGGTGCTCCTGCTGATTGGGTGGTGGTGCTGGCGCAGAGATACAACACGCGGGCGCTGGAGCAGCATGGGGAGGTGGAGGAGCCTCGGTGTGTGTGTGTTTTGTGCCCCTATATCCCTTCTCATTCCTTAATATTCTCGGTGCTGCGCTGCGTGTTCCCAGGTGCACCGGCGGACTGGGTGGTGGTGCTGGCACGGCGATACAACACGCGGGCGCTGGAGCAGCATGGGGAGGTGGAGGAGCTGCTGAGCTCTCTGTTCCCTCGAGAGCGTGTGGTGGTGTTTGATGGCAGCCTGCGCATTTCTGATGGTGAGAGGGAGAGCTGGGGAGGGCTACATGAGTGTTATGGATATATTGGGCCTACCAACCTCCTTCTCCATTTCTTACCACCTACTGTTCAACCTGCCAACCATCTCCTTTCTCCCTGCCCTGCAGCCAAGGCTCTGTTTAGCCTAGCCGTGCTCTCTGTGTCAGCGCTTACCAACGCCATCTTCACGCCGTTCATGCCAACCCCCTCCTATCTCCCCTACCTCTCTTGCAGCCAAGGCGCTGTTTAATCGAGCTGTTCTCTTCGTGGCGGCGCATGGGGCAGCGATCACCAACGCCATCTTCATGCCGTTCAAGTCGGTGCTGCTTGAGCTGCGCCCCAGGGACTTCCACAAGGCGTGCTACCACCACCTGGCGGAGGTCTGTGACCTGCAGTACTTCCTGCTCTTGTGCGAGGGGGCTAAAGACACGCCTCTGTCGTGTGATATGGGTGAGGTGAGGAGCTTGTTGGAGGAGGTGCGAGGGCGCGTGGATAAGGTGCTGGAAGAAGGGCCGGAAGTGCAGCTGGAGGAGGAGGATGAAGGGCAGCGTTGACCAGCGTTGACTGGCGTTGACCAAGGTTGACCTGCGCCCCAGGGACTTCCACAAGGCGTGCTACCACCACCTGCAGTACCTCCTGCTCTTATGTGATGGTGCTAAAGGCACGCCTCTGTCGTGTGATATGGGTGAAGTCAACACTCTGTTGGAGGAGGTGCGAGGGCGTGTGTGGATAAGGTCCTTGAAGAAGGGCTGGAAGTGCAGCTGGAGGAGGAGGATGAAGGGCAGCGTTGACCAGCGTTGACTGGCGTTGACTGGCGTTGTCTGGGGTTGGCTTGGCAGCTGGGGGGTGCTACCACCACCTGGCGGAGGTGTGACCTGCAATACCTACTGCTGCTGTGAGAAGGGGGCCTAAAGACACGCCTCTGTCATGTGATATGGGTGAAGTGAGGAGAGTATTAGAGGAGGCGCAAGAGCATGTGGATATAGTGCTCGAAGAAGGTCCGGAGGTGCAGCTGAAGGAGGAAGAGCAAAGTTGACTAGCGTTGACTTGCGTTGACTGGCGTTGACCGGGTTGACTTGGCAGCTGGGGTGTGCTACCACCACGTGGCGGAGGTGTGTGACGTGCAGTACCTGCTTTTGCTACTGCTGCTGTGTGAGGGGGCTAAAGACACAGCACTGTCATGTGATATGAGTGAAATGAAGAGTCTGTTGGAGGAGGTGCGAGGTCGTGTGGATAAAGCGCTGGAAGCGGGGCCAAAAGTCCAGCTTTAAGAGGGAAGGGCAACGTTGACCAGCATTGACCAGTGCTGACTTGGCAGGACAGGGCTGGCAGCGGGGCCTGAGGTGCAGCTGGGGGAGGAGGGGGAACAGCAGCATTGACCAGCGTTGACTAGTGTTACCAAGACAGCCTGCCCTAAATGAATGACTGACTGCGATTTCCACTGCTGCGGCCATGAGGTGGTGAGTTGCCCTGTGCTCATACATAACTGTACAGCCCTGCTGTACGTTTTCATTGGTTTTGCGATGTTAGCAGCTTCAATTACGGTATTTTGTTCCGACTTGGTCTTGCCTCAGTAGCGAGGATGCTTGTTGCGTGTCTGCTGGACCGCACGCCCCCTGTTTCCACTGTCTTTCTCTCTTCATCGTCACATCTCATCTCTTTGCTTGTTGATGCCTTTTTATCAGGGGTCTGTCAGCTGAGTTCTACCAAGTTAAACAGTACCGTAGCTAGTTGTTGCAACATGCGTCCCATTCACCCTTTGTATGCAACCGTTCCAGGTGACTAAACATAGACAAATAATGCATAAATTGAGGCCTGCTTCTACTTTGAATGATATGCTGGAACCGATAATCGACTGCTGCTGCTAGTGAAGCTGTCGTTGTTTGTACGGTATAGCTATTCTAGTTTCTTTCTTTTCTCCGTTGTACAGAACTTTAGAATCTCTGCCTTTAGCGGGAACCGAAACAGCGCTGGTGCAGCAGGCTGTCACCCTATCTCTAGAAGTTAACGAAGTTGGCGCGGAGTTTGACGTGGCGATGGCGCCAGGCGCACAGCCACGTCGTCGTACGTCAACCAGATGTTGAGACCGTAACCTTGCATCCACACCGTCGAACTTCCCCCAACCACAGCCCCCGTTTCCGCTGCGCCACCCCCATTGTCTGTGCCCTTGTACCCCCAACGGCATCACTTCGCCTCCCCTCCGCCATACCGCACCACCCCAGTTCGTAAGTGGCACTTAACGAGACTTAGCCGAACATGGCTGGTAGTTTTCCACCCTCTCTTTCTCCGAGCCGTTTGGTCGTTTTTTCACTCGAAACCCTATTTTCCACCCTAGATTTCAAAAATCGGCCAACCGAATGTTACGTAAGAGTTTCGAAGGACCTAAACTAAGAAGAACGGCCAACCTAAACATCGCACCTCCCTTCACCTCCAAACTTGAGGTTTCGGGCTTCGGACTTCACCAGAGTTGCCAGTTTATTATACCGCTGCCTGCTTGAAGCCGCTTAGACCGCAGTCATGGCGACTCTCCGCTGCGACGCGACCGTCCTCGGCGCCGTATCTTCCGCCGCTTTTGCGGGCCGTCAAAACCTTCAGGTTAGCGTTCTTTTAGCTTCCAGGATAACCTATAGTACCGCTCTATGGTTGACACTGAGGGTGTTAGTGGAAAGGCAATTATCTGACCGTATTCAGCCAGATAAGCTATTATCCGTTCCGCGCATTTTTTCCGGAAGCCGCGTTATCTTTTATCCGGACGCCTTTCCTTAAAGGCACGTTCGACCTGGAGAATGCAGCGAGTCGACACATCAATCACCCCGTCAGGCCTTTGCCGGTACCTCTTATCTCCGGTCTGATAGTCGCACTGCCGCAACGCCGCGAGTCACGCGGGGTGTGCACGAAGGAGAAAATTGGACTCCGTTTTTTCAGTTAGAGGCAAACTCAGTCAAACTTTTGCGGTCGTGTTATCTCAATTTCTGCTGTTTACATTCTCTCAATCCCAACGCGGCGAGGCGCGCGTGCTGTTCAAGAAGGCGAGACTTGACTACGATTTTCTCTTATGATGGACCCAAAACTATGCTCTATTGTATCTAAATACTATGATTTTTCAATTTGTTTGTCGAATTTCCATCTCGCAGGCTCAACGCGGCGAGGCGCGTGTGGTGTGCAAGAAGGAGGGCATCCACCCCAAGTTCTACAAGGAGGCTAAAGTGTTTTGCAATGGCGAGGAGGTGATGACCACCATGGGCACGCAGGAGAAATACGTCGTCGACGTCTGGTCAGGTAAGGCCGGGCATTCAGCGTGAGCTCTACAGCGAGTATAAAGTGTTTTGCAATGGCGATGAAGGGTGGCCAGCCATCCTCGCCACGCAACGGAATGTGTCGTCGGCGTCTAGTCAGTTATGCCGGTCGTGCACGGAGGGCATACACTATTGGCCCTAACGCGTACAAAGTGTTTTGCAATGGCGAGAATGGGGTGACCACTGTGGCCACGCAGAGGAATTCGTCGTCTGATCGGTCAAAGCCGTCCTGAACTAAACAAGTTAGGCTGACGGCTCGTCAGATATGCTGACGTTCAGTCAGTTAGTCTCACGTCTTGTGACGTCTAGTTGGTTAGCCTGACGTCTCCACAGGCGGCTAGGTTAGCTTTCATTCACTCCCGCCCCTCCTTCCCTCCAGGCAACCACCCGCTGTTCCAGGGCAGCAAGAACAAGCTGCTGATGGAGGCGGGATGCATGGATATGAACCCTGGGGCCCTCATTCTCACATCTCCCCATCATACACCCCCTCCCGCCCCTCCTCTCCAGGCAACCACCCACTGTTCCAGGGCAGCAAGAACAAGCTGCTGACAGAGGTGGCGCATTTGGGATACTCACTAACGTTTCGTCGACCCTCCTTATTTCCACTTTCTCCCTGCAGGCAACCACCCACTGTTCCAGGGCAGCAAGAACACGCTGCTGACAGAGGCTGGGCGAGTGGACAAGTTCAACCAGCGGTACGGCGCCCTCGGCACCATGTCCAAGATCCCCGTCCTCGATAAGGGCGAAATCGTTATTGTCAAGAAGTCCAAGGCGCCGGCCAAGAAGGGTGGCAGGAGATGAGCAGCAGCTGGTAGAGAGGCCAGGACCTGAGAGTGGTCATTTGATGTAGTTGGATCATGGCAGGCAGGGGCTTGTATCATTGTCTGAAATATATGCCTGTTCCATGGGCTCTGATAATTACGAGACTGGGACATGCACATGTCAATGCTACCGATGAAGAGCAAAATGTGACAGTTTAATATGCCTGAATACTCATACGAGGATTCTCACATACGGTACATACCGGTATGCCAGTGCCAGCACTGCATGCAGAGTCAGACCTACTGGCTGGAGGGTTGAAGGTTTGGCCGGGATCTTGATTGACGAATTGGCTATCTTCAGTTCGATCACAGTTTATTGCATTCGACCCTGATGCATCGCTTAAAACGAATGGCGGACCAGATTCAACACGTAACTCTAATATCGCGTACGTCTTCCGAAAGCCTCATCGGAACTCGGTCGTCGGACCCGTTTTGCCAGTGTCGACGGGAGGGGTCGTCGGAGGAGGGCCTGACGAGGCGGGCGACTGACGCGCGTGCGGGCCCGCCAGCCTGGCCCAGGGCTGGGCCGAGCGCACGACCGCCGCCCTCCGAAATTGAACAGCGACCCACGTTACCGGGTGGGGTCGGCGAGCTGGCGACCCCTCGCGCGAGGGAAAGTTACCCTCGCGCGAAGGCAGCCCACACGTGCTGCCTGCCCGCGAGGTCCTAGTAACCCATCGCGGCCTGCCCGGACGGGCAGGCGAGGGCCGTGCGAAAATACGGGCCCCCCTCGGGACACTCGACAATTTCGCGATTCGCAGCGGTGGCGCCACGTGTTCGCCCGTGGCTTCGCATCGGGCGCATGCGAAATTTTTGTCGAGGCGGAAATAAATTCTCTCCCATCGCATGCATTCTATCGTCGCGAACCGCTACGAAATCGACACGTGTCGATTGTAGCGTCGCTCCGCGCGCAGGAGGATTCGTGCGTCCCCTCGCCGACCTGGGCCAATGGACGCGAAGTCGACGCTCTACCAAGGCGGAGACGGACCACCTGTGCCACTTGCGCATCCGCCCTCCGAGCACTGCCGAGCCAGGCCCTGCACCCTTGGGCGATGCTGAACGGGGGGGGGGGGGGGGGGGGGGGGGGGGCACCACCTCCTTTTCTCTGTGGAAGGTGGCCTCGCTCCGCATTTTCGGCATCTCTTTCGGATTTTCAAACATTGACAGCTCTGCGCCTCCCCTCTCTCCTACCAGAGCCGTCCGCCTCTTTTCTTAGTCGACAGATATGGAGCCGATCTCCGCCGCCGATAAGTCGGCGCCGACATCGGCCGACTTTCCCCTTCGGGTGCAAATGGGTCGCGGTCTCAGCTTCACCTTAGAGTGGAACGACTACGCCGTCCTTCGCGACCAAAAGAAAGAGTTCACCGAGAGATGCTTTGGACTCGCCATCAGGTGGGACGCGGGTAGTCGCGGTAGTCGAATAGGGAAGATGTCGGTGCCGACCAACCCTAGTAGGGCGCACTGTCGCCGATTGTCTTCCGACGTACGTCGGCGGGCGCGTTTGACGAAGCACGTCGACATGGCAGCGTTTGCTTACCAGCCATGTTCTCATCCCTCGTGCTCACTCGTGCGCTCAGGTTCGCTTGGTTTGACATTGGGCGGGACGACCTGCGGTTGTGGGTGCTGGGGATCGGCCCGCTTCGATCGGCCATGAAAGCCGCCGACCATTCTTGCTTTGCTAAGGCTTTCGACGCCGACATCGCCGCTATCCCGCTGAAATCGACGTGAGCTGTTACCCCGTTGTCCAGTCATCGTTTTTCAGTGTCGGCCGCATCAACGCCTTATGCTGTGGTCGACGCCGTCGTTTATTGCGTGTGCAGCGGCGGCCCGCTTCCAGGGTCACACTGCAGCGTCATAGCCATCCTCTACCCAGGAGATGTGCTGAAGGCTGAGGGACAGGTCTGCAGGACATCGATCCGGCACATCGACCCGCACACCGGAAAGGGGAAGCACCGCGACGAGGCCGTCCGCGTCCTGAAGTAAGTTGTGAATAGTCGTCGCTGTCGAGTTTGTTAGTCGCCGACACAGGGAATCTCATGCTGACCTCCTCTCCACTACGTTGCTCCAGGCTATTCCGCACGGCTGCCCTGGCCGAGCTGGGGCGTCCCGGTAGGAAGTGGGACGGGGCGCCTCCATCACAAGCAGTGGTGGAGGAAAGGCTTGCCGACTGCGACGACCCTATCCGCGACGTGAGTTGCACGTTTAGGCTCCGCTACGGTCTGCGCGTATCTGTATGCACCGCTCATATTGTGCCGCGCTTGCCTGTGCTGTATGCAGAAAGTGCCGGGCACAGTGTCGGACGGGCATGTCGGCACCGGCATGCTTGCCGCGACGTCGTTCGGGTGGGTGGCCAAGCAGATCGGCCTGCTGACGGGCGACAAGGCTCGGAGCGCTGTGAGCATCGAGAACATCAAGGTCGCGGGTTTGAGGTCGCTCCGTGATAGCATGGTCGATTACATCTGCCATCGTGTCGCCGAAAACCGGATAGCGGCGCCGACTTCAGGCGCCGACGGACCCGCCGAGGGTGCGATTGATGACGACGGCGCGGAAAGTCAGACGGCGCCCCAAGCAGCAGCTGCCGCCCAGCGCCAGGAGGACTTGCCGGTGTTTGCGGAAGGAGGAACCGGTGGAGGACTAGGCGACGATGCGGCAGGCGCAGGGAGGAAGGAAGAGGAGTTGACGGACTCTGGCTCAGAGTCGGAGTCGGAGGGGGAGGAGGAGGACGAAGGGGAGAAGGAGAATGAGGACGAGGAGGATGACGAGGGCAAGGACGAGAACGATGAGGTGGTGGAGGTGGTGGCCGGGAAGGATGAGGCGGCGCACGAGGAAGGGGTGGAGGAGGAGGTGGAGTACGAGCTGGAGTACGCAGACGGCACGGTTGAGGCGGTGGGGTCGGCGGACGAGAAGAACGAGGAAGCGGAGGATGGCGATGCGGGTAATGCTATGGGGTCGGCAGGTGAGGGGAAGGAAAAGGATGAGGTCGGCGTGGAGGCAACGACGGAAACGGGCCAGGAGGAGGCGGCATGCGAAGGTGCGAAGGTGTCGGTCGACGCCGGCGAAGGTGCGAACATCGCGGGCGTGCAGGAGACGGGGGACGCATCTGGTCGGCAGGGCCCTGCAACGGACGACGTCGAGGAGCTGCGACGGGAGAACTTGCTGTTGAGGGCGGAGAACGCTCGGCTGCAGGGTTTGCTCGATGCGGAACGGGCTCGGCTGGACGCGTTTTTTGTTGGGCTACGTGGACTCGTCGACCACCTGAAGGAGTTGGCCGAGCAGGTCGACGACACCGAGAAGTATGCGGCGGAACAGCTGCGAAACGCGGCGGAGGCCATGTCGCAGACCATCACGGGCAACATCACCGGCAGCTTCGACGAGGCGTGGAAGACGATGAAGACCTTCGCGGAACAGGCGTCGGCGTGGCTGGAGGACTTCGACAACCCGGAGGGAAATGTGGCGTATCAACGCGCCTTAGCGGTCACCACCTTGGCCGACCACGTCGACAAGGTGGTGGGCGATGCGCAGGAGGATTTGCGGGAGCACATCACGAGCCAGTTGTCCGCCGCAGCTGTCAACATCGCCACAGCTGTGACCGGCAGGCTCCCCGTGCAGCCGCCGCCACCGCCTCAGCCCACGCCGCCCGCCCTCCCGGAAGAGCTCTTGAAGTCGTTCAAGGCCGACATCATGAAGACGGTGACGGAGGCCACCGAGCAGTCGTTCGTTGCGTCCGGGATGAAGATGTTGACCGAGATGATCGGCACGGTGGCGCCTGGTCGACGTGGGTCGTCGCCTTCGGCCAATGACGCCGACGCCGCGCAACAGAGGGCGGCCGACAAGCAAGGCCTGAAGAGGTCGGGCGACGGTGACGACAAGGAGAGCTCGAAGCGGAGCAAGGGATCGGACGGGAGCCGCGTCACGAAGCCTCCTGCGCGGAGCGTGGTCGACATGCTGAAGGCGAAGGGGTGGAAGGTGAGGGGAGGGTCGACCAGCAAGGGAAGCGGAAGCGGGGGGGCGGACGGGAGACCTGCCGACGGGATCGCGGCTAACGTCGATGCACCGCCTGGCCCGCCTTTGGACGCCGAGCAGACCCATCCTCAGGCGAGCGGTGGGAAGGACGCGGCCCCCACTGCCCAGGCGGCGAAAGTCGGAGGCGGCGGAACCACCCAGGGGCCGTCGGACGCGATGCCGGCCAAGGGCAAGGCGATGTCTGCGTCTGCTACGGTCGCCGGAACCGGCACGGCGAAGGCTGCCTCTGCTTCAGTCCCCGGAACCGGCAAGTCGAAGGCTGCTTCTGCTACGGTCGCCGGAACCACCAAGTCGAAGGCTGCTTCTGGTACGGTCGCCGGAACCACCAAGTCGACACCATGTAACCCGCCTGCGGCAACCACCGGGCCCGCCGGCCAGTCAGGTGCGGGGAAGCATGGGGAGGCCCGTGCGGCCCCTCCAGCTCCAGCAGCCCCTACTGCCGCCAAGGTCGACGCGAAGGCTGCTTCGGCACAGGGGCCACCCGGGAGTAACGCGCTTAGGGTGTTGCTCCACCGCATGGAGTCCCACCGCCCGGGCGCGCAGCAGCATCCTGTGGTCGACGCCGGCCTCGCAGAAATAGCACGTCGCTCCGTCACTCCGCACGTTGCCGGCAAACCGTCCGATGCCCAATCTGCCGCGCGGCCGGTCGCCGCCCCACCGCCTGCGGACCCCAAGTCCGCGTTTCTTCGCGCCCATATAGGCGCACGCAAAGCGGCAGCTCCACCAGTCACTCAGCCGGAACCCGGCACAAGCGCGACGCCGACGGCTGTAAATGCGACCGCACCCTCCCCAGGAGCAGCTGTGGTCGATCTGGCGGCGGAGAGGGGAGTCAGTGCAGCGCTAGCCACCGGCGGCCGCGCCGACAGGCATGCCGCCCTCGAATCCGTCCTGGCCCAGTTTGAGGCAGCAAAACGGCCCGAGCATGCCCCGGCACTGGCCATCGTGGACACGGCGCAT